AAAAAAAAAAAAAAAAAAAAAATCTTGAGGAAGAAGATGATGACGTGTCGCCACATCATCTGACGTCATCGCCACGTCAGCAAGGGCCCAGTCAGCTGCCAAGTCAGCAGTCCAGTCACTTGCCCAGTCAACAGACCCAGTCAGCTGCCACGTCAGCACGTCTGCCCAGTCAGCGCCACGTCATCAACGTAAAAAAAAAAATAAAACCTCCCCCCCCCATTTTCGACTGTTCCGGACGCAACGGTTCTGTCTATTTTTCGAAATTCAGCTTCGATTTGCCCCAAACAGATTGTTGAAGGTATAAAATGGCCATGGAAGAGTCAACTTCATCTTCTAGAGCTATGATTATGCTCACGGCTACCAACTATACGCTGTGGAAACCTCGGATGGAAGATTTCCTCAGCTGTAAAGAGCTCTTTGGTCCAATAGAGCTGAAGGGTATTAACCCTGATTCGTCCAAGGCGTTAGAATGGAAGAAAATCAATAGAAAAACTATTGGTCAAATCCGACAATGGATTGATCATAGTGTTTTCCATCATGTTGCACAAGAAACCGACGTATATGTCCTTTGGAGGAAGCTGGAGGACATGTACCAAGCCAAGACCGCTCGGAATAAGGCCTTATTGATGAGGCGCTTAGTCAATATGAAGTTGAAAAGTGGAACTTCTGTTGCCGAGCATACCAGTGAGTTCCAGAGCCTGGTAAATCAGCTATCTTGTGTGGAGATGCCGCTTGGAGATGAAATGCAATCTCTGCTACTTCTTAGTTCCCTTCTTGATAGTTGGGAAACACTCGTTGTTACTCTCAGCAACTCAGCCTCAAACGGCAAACTTTCCATGTTCGTTGTCAAGGATGCCTTATTCAATGAAGAGGCAAGAAGGAAAGACATGGGTACAGATCAGACCCATGCCCTTGTGATGGAGAATCGAGGAAGACCACAAGGCAAGCAACAAAGAAGCGGTAGAGGGAAGAGCAGGGGTAGAAGCAAGGGGAGGCAATCAGATGATCGAAGATCACATGTGTGCTATCATTGTGGTCTAGAAGGTCATACGAAGAAGACTTGCTATAAATGGCTCGAGGAGCAGGGCAAGAGCAATTCTCAGCCGAAGAATAGTTTTTAGTAGAAGAACAAGGGCAAGGGTGGTGAAACTCTCATCACTGTCTCAGGTGATGTAGCATATTGCTCTAACCATGGTGAGACATGCCTTCATGTCTCAAGAGAAGACATGGAATGGGTGGTAGATACTGCAGCATCCTATCACGTTACTCCCAACATGAAATAC